TCCTAATAAAAATTATATTGAAAATAATATAAAAAAAACACCTATCACTACACATCAAATTGGAAAGAAGATAGTCACTTAACGATAAGGAATTCATAAGGCTACACATACCTCTATGGTTTAGCCAAATGACGCTCCACATCAAAAGGTAACTTTCTCTATCATTCAAGCATCAAAATTTCATGCATAAACTATGTGTAGCATGAAGGAACAGTCATTGCACATAATTTCACTCTACATGAGCAAAACCACAATTTTCTTATCATGAGAAAAACCATTTACTTAAACACTTAACTAAAGCATATTTACCAACTCTTAGCCACATATTCAATATTATAAATTAGAGGAGAATTGCCACTTAAAAAGCAAAACAAAACTTAGGTACATGCATTACTTAGGTTCAGCTAAACTAAGGACTAAGAGAAATAAAGCTCTTCTTTGAGTTTTAAGAATTCTAACATAGAAGAGTTCTCATCATTTAAAAGGGAGCAAACTCAACCTCACGACCCATATGTGGTTCGGTCAAAGCAAGAAGGAAGGGAGGGAGAAATGTTCTCATGCAATTGGACTTTCTCGTAGGTTATTCAATCACCCAAGAATATAATTAACCATTAGAACACATCATTCAAGCCAAAAATCACAAAATCTCCAAAATTCTATCATCGAACAATTGAAAATTAAAGAAAATGATTAAGGAGATGAAGTTTATGAGCACTAACCTTTTAATTAAGCTTTTAGAAGCTTAAAAAAAACCACTGAAGCTATGGACTTTCCCCTTGTCCATCTTGGAGGGTTCTCCTTTCTCTAAACAAGAGAAAGTAGGAAATTCAACTCAAAGAAATCAAAAAGAAAGAGAAGAATGCATGGAGATGAAGAAATGCAATAGCATGACTTGAAACCTATAAATCAACACAAAACTCAAATTAAAACTCACTTGAACTATATAGGAACTCCAAGTTTTCTTGAATTCTACAAGCCCAAAATCACCAATAAAGCTTCGATCTTCCATAAAAGTTACTAGCTTAGGGTTTGATTAGGTTTAGTTTGAGTAGTTCTTGAGGAAAAATCCAAAGAAAAAGAAGAGAGGGAGAGCTAGAAGGGTTCGGCCAACCATATAGGAAACAAAGGGAAGAATGGGAGATAAGAAAAGAAAGAAAGAAAGACTTATATAGTGTAGGGTATAAGTTTGAGGGGTAGTTTTGTAATTTTCAACACCTTCCTTAGGGAGTTGTTGATGAAGGGTGAAGATTTAACCTAGGAAATTCTAATCCATTGGTCCTAACCACTCCTACAACAACTCTTTAAAATTTCATTTTCCATGCAAAACTCATCAAACTTGTTCAACAATATTAATTCTCAAATTTTCTAATTTCTAAAAACACTGAAACATTATTTATTAATTACTTAATTCCTACAAATAAATTCATAGCTCATTTTCTATAGATAAAAATAATGCATGGATGGACCAAAATAAATAACAAAAAATATTAATTGTGAATAATAACATTAACATTTCCGAGCTGAAAAATATTGATTCCCATTCGGATGATACTATTCACAGCTCAGTAAGTCATTATTCATAACACAAAAAAGTCAAGATGATACAAAGATAATCAAGAAAAATGGAAAGAAAATGACAAACAAAAGATGAGTTTCAACTTTGTAGAGAGAATTCTGGATAGCGAAATGTTGCACTCTTATACCATAAGTTGCAATTAGAGTTTTGTCCTTTTCATTTTTAATATGCCTAATTAGTATCCCAACTATACCTGTCTTCCTATATAATCTATTAACTGAATCCCGTATTGTGCTACTTGAGTTGCTTGGATTTGGAGTCTAGATAATTACCAAAATAGCAGCTGGTAATGGTGTTAGTAAAACATTCCAGTTGGCAAGTGAGTATTAGAGTTTTAATTGGAAGATCTGTATTCGATATCCAACTATTTGAACCGTAACTGTAATCCATCAGTCGGTCTGGCAATATATGCACACACATTTACTTTACCTGAAAAATAGTTTGATATCTTCTATTTTGAATGGGTTTAATGCCCTGGAAAAAAACATTTTAATGTTCTCACTAGAAATGTATTTATATTTCTTTTAAAAAAATTTCATGTTTTTACTTATTTTTTTCATGTTATAGTTTCATCCTTTCTCCTAGAGGTAAGTTTGATGAACTTATTTTCTTTAGTTTTATTTTGATGTAAGTTGATTTTTTTTTCCTTTTAATATCTGGTTTGAAAACGCTAGCTATTTTTCAAAATATTTTATAGATAATTGATTTCGCAGTCTTTGTTTGTGAAATTTTTTGAATAACAATCTAATATCCCCAAGGGTATCTGACCTGATCTTCTACACATTTAATGTCATGACAAATGTAAGTAGATACGGATTTGTGGGAGTTCGTCCGCATGAAGCTGCTCATTTATTGGCAGCTAGAAAGTTTTTACTATCAATCGCAAGTGTTGCATTTGTTTTTGGCCTTTATGATTGTAATAGAGATTGTTGGAAACATGATCAATGCAGTCTACAATATGTGGCAACTATCTTGGTTGCCCATCAACTTAATCTTGATAGTCCGTCGCATGAACGCTGCCTTTCATCTATATATTGGTCAGGCTAGAAAATGATTTTAAAATCTATACAAATTCGACAAATGATGTTGCATTTGTTTTTGGCCTTTTATGATTTGGTAATAGAGAGTTGTTGGAAACATGATCATGCAGTCTACAATATGTGGCAACTTCATTGGTTGCCCATCAACTTAATCTTGAAAAAAAAAAAAAAAAAAAAAAAGATTTGGATTTTTCACATATCCACTTTATGAAATTAAAATATAGTGGTTTAATTTTAATTTGACTTAGTTAATTTGACAAATTTAATTAGAAGTTAAAATTTTAAATTTAATTTATTTTTAAATTTTATTGTTGATTACAAATGTTAACTTTTTATCCATATGGTTTTAATGGACCTAAACTAGAGTTAATATTGAAGCTTCTTTTCCTTTTAATTGATTTATTTAACACAAATTAATGTTTAAATAAGAGAACTAATTTTTACAAAATTAGCTAAATGTTAAATAGGGCCTTAAAAATACTACAATTTATAAAGTTACAAATTAGAAAATAAATAATGACTAGAATTTGATAAGTCCAAAACTTCATGAATTTAACATGATAATTTAACACAAATTAATGTTTAAATAAGAGAACTAATTTTTACAAAATTAGCTAAATGTTAAATAGGGCCTTAAAAATACTACAATTTATAAAGTTACAAATTAGAAAATAAATAATGACTAGAATTTGATAAGTCCAAAACTTCATGAATTTGAATTAGTTTAAAGAATTTGATAAATATATGACAACTAAAAGATATGTAGTTTAAACTCCAAAATTTTACACTACGTATTAGAAAATTAAAGATTTTTATTTTGGCAATGTGATTGTAGGAAACTCCAAAATTTAACATGAGAATTTAAAAAACAAAATGGATTAAAATATTTATTTTATCAAAATTGAAAAGAGAGTAAATCATGAAATTAAACAATTTTGTCTTACATTGTCTTTTTTATTTTTTATTTTTAATATTTATAAAATATATTTCAAATTATACTAAATGATAAAGAAAAAAAAGAATAAGTATTGAGAGCAAATATTTGTGTGACTACTTGCTCGAAGGAAGACTATAAGCTATGAAAAGAGTTCATTGCTTACATTTAAAACTTGAAAAGTGAATTAAAAAAATTGCAAAATTCTTTCATTTTTCTATAAAAATTATGGAAAGCACATTTATATATCTAATTTTTCATGACTATATATACAACAAAAAATTTTAAATAACAACATAATTAAGTTCTAAATTTATTATTGTCACGACCCATTCCCGTGGGCCGGACCGGCACTAGGACCTGGGTGGGCTTAAGGCCCCCGAAGCCCGTAGTAAGCCTAACTTCTTTAAATTCCCCATTTTATTCATAATTATGGATTCAGGCCCATTAACTTGTTATACATATGCATCCAAAATACAGTTCATATATATTTAATTTAATCTGGACTTTCATTATTTATTTACAGCCCAGCTGGAATATAATTGCGGAACTCTACCTTTACATTCACATCATTATTTCTATCATTAACGGTCTTCTATAATAAGTATTTCAACTCCATAGGGCTTTTCATTCTTTTCTATTTACCTGAAAAAATAGTAGGCAGGGGTGAGCGCCAAACTCAAATGAGTAGGGTTAATAACCCTCTCAACCACACAGTCACACAGTATGCTAAAATATTTTTAATCTGGTATTCGTTTAACATCATAAGATCATGCAGTTTTGTCACACAAATGGCAATTAACACAACAATCACAATTATTATCACCTTCATCATAAATCACAATCACGTGGAAATTAGTCAGTGGAAGTTCACCAAAACCCCGATGAGCCGTCTCCCACATGGCTATCCTCTAACGTGTGCACCAGGGAGCGATCCCATCACTGGCGCGACCGTCTAATCCTCACTTGACACAGCCTCTCATTGTTTTCCATTCTCTTTTTCTTTTTCATACCAAAGGAGGCAACTCGGTGGTCTTCCATCCCAATCTAGATCACAGCGCTTACAATAGGAGGCCACCTACGGGCTGCAATCAAATCTAGATTTTCAGGTGCGAACAACAAGCGGCCATCCTGTGGTTAAGTGAACGGTAACGGTAGTGCAACGGGGGAGCCGATTCTCCCATTTACCCCGGCTAACGGTAATCCAGAATCCATATAACGGTAAACGGTAATCATAATCAGCGATCATATAACGGTAACGGTCTCACAAACCATGGTGACCACTTCATCCCAATTCCACACAAGCAAAGCACAGCAATATCACATCACAGCGAATCAAGCAATACAAATAGTGCAGCACGATATGGCAATTCAACAAAATAATGCATGATAACATTTAGCCGTGAATGCATGAATGCAGGTGGATGATACTAGTTATCTAACACTACTCACAGTTCTTTATTGTCCTTTAAAAGGACTGCCTTTTTTAGCCACATGCTTCCAGCTTTTGTCCTCGCATTTTGTATTTTATAAGCCTTTAAAATAAACAAGAAATTTCTAAATAAGAATTTTAATTCAAAAACTTCGGTTTACATATTCATTTATTTGTTTTTATTACCCGTCGGATCATTAACTTATCAAACTATAATGTATATTCAAATAAGTATCATTAGTAAATTAACGTTTTTGTTTATACTCTTCAAATAAGTATCATTAGTAAATTAACGTTTTTGTTTATACTCTTCAAATAAGTATCATTAGTAAATTAACGTTTTTGTTTATACTCTTCAAATAAGTATCATTAGTAAATTAACGTTAATATTCGTAATATCAAAATAAAGTACGCATTAGCCATGATATTAATTATACCAATGATTTGAGGAATCATTTCTATTGATTAATATAACTAGACATTATACCACCGATGTATTATAATTATTAATTTCCCTTTTTATAATGTAATTAATCATAATTCACGATATTTACAGATTAATTAGATTGATAATTTGAAACTTAAATATTTTTTTTTTTATTTTCGGTGAAAATCTTTATTATTCTTCAACTGCCTAGAAGTCCGATTCTATAATCGATGTCCATAAATTTCCAATTTTTACTAATTCAATTAATCTTATATTCAATTAATTAATTAATTATTCGGGATTTATTCAAAAATTGCGAATTAAGCTTTAGAGTGTACCGATTGAAAATCAGATTTTATGTCCGTGATCCGCGCGAAGAGGAGATCATTCTGTCTCTCGGGGTCTTCGCCGGAGTCTCGCCGGAGCCTCGCCGGACCACCGCCGTCGCCGCCGTGCATGGTGGCCGAAAAATTTAACCTTCACCAAAATTGACAAACGATACATCATTTTATTCGTTTCGATGAGAGGATCACTGATATGTATTCAAATCAAGGTGGGTGTGAACTATTTGGCCGAAAATTGACCGGAAAGGTGTTCGGCTGATAACCCATTTTGGGTTTCTGATTCCGGCTATTACAGTCGAAAGAGGCTTACCAATGAAAGACGGAAAAGAGAGAGTCGATCAACACCTACCATCGACGCCTCAAGTCATCGGAAACGATGGGAAATCGCCGGAGAAAGTTGTTGCAACGGGAGCCTAAAACGTTTCGGTCGAGATTTTGCTTCATCCGGCTCAAATCGGCGCAACCAGTTTTAAATCAAACTCCTTGCGACGGTAGATATATTTTTTAGAGTATTATTTGCCGGATTTGGGCGCGGCTGGTTCCGTGAGAACGAGAAGAAAAGGGGAGGGGGGTTGTTGAGAGAGAAGAGCGAGAGAGAAGACATTGAGGTCTCTCTTTCTCGTTTCTCTTTTCTTTCTTCTCTTTTTTTTTTTTTTTTTTTCTAGAATTTTCTAAATTTGGTGGATGGGGTTTGGGTTATTCGAGTCTGGTTATGGTTAAATCATGGTTTTTAGCTTGGTTTTTTCAATTGATTTAATGGATTTTTCATCTGGTTTTCGAAAAATTAATTTGATTTTTGGGTCCGGTTCAAATTTATTTGATTATTTTGTTCAGTTCCGTTAATATTTTCTAATTTAATTCATAAAATATTAATAAAGAATATTTAATTTTTAGGCTGATTAATTTATATAGTGTTAACATATATATAGACACATTTTTAATCGATTTAACAATTAGTGTTCATTTTATTTTCATTTCGAATTTTTACAAGTATTACCTAAACGAAATTTCCTAAATAATATGTTTTTTTGGGCTTGGGCCCAATTCATAAAACTTTGGGCTCAATTAGAATTCTCGGTAATTACTCGGTCTTAACAGCCCATATTATCATAAATCTGGATTTTTGATTTAATGAAAATTCAAAAGTTTTGAAAATAAAAATTCGAGGTATTTCAATTATAGTATTAATTCACAAAATTTAATGGTATAGAAAGTTAACAACTAAAAAAAAAGCAAGTACAAACTTGAAAGAATTAATTAGAAACATAAAGTTATTCATTAGGAGTATTGAAGAAAAAAACATTATATTATCAAAACAAAAAAAAAGAGAATAACTGCACATCTTAATTTATATTGATAAGGTGATTTTCTTTGCATTTAATATTATATATTTTTTACGGGAGTTATTTAATTTTTTTACTTATGGTGGATCATATCTGTGCAATGGAAATGGAGGAGTTAACAACTTTAGCGTTATCGAATGAGAAGGATGAGGTGGCTATGGTTGATACAGTTCAAGAGCAAGAGTACCAGCAAGACTGTAATCTCTACCTCCTTGATCGATTATTAACTAGTAAGAAAGTGAATTATAGGGCTATGAAATTTACCTTAACAAGTCTACAGCAACTAGGGAGGGGTATCTATGTTACGGAGGTTGACCCTAAGGTCTTTTTATTTTAGTTTTTCATCTAGTTGATATCAAACGTGTATGGAATGGGGGTCAATGGTCATTTAATAATCATCTCCTTATGCTTGATAAGATCCCTCTGAATACTGAGCCTCGAGATGTTCCTTTATTCTTTGCTGAATTCTGGGTCCAGGTCCACAGTCTTACTAATGGGTTTATGTTAGAAAGTGTTGGCTGCATGCTAGGGAATTTTTTGGGGTTATTCATCTTGTATGATCCTAATAATAATGCCACTGTTAGGAGGACTTATATAAGACTGTGTGTGAGGCTTGATGTCCAACAACCATTGAAGAGACGAAATATGTTGAAGAATCAGAAGGGGGAGGAGATTATTGCCTAATTCGATATAAAAAAACTACCTATCTTTTGTTTCCTGTGTGGCAAATTGGGTCAGAATGAGCAGAATTGTGATGTCTTGTACTCATCAACAGTCGCTTCGAGTGATGTGGGGGTGCCTGAGTTTAGGCGAGGAGCATGGCTCAAAGCTTTCATCTGATAGAATATGGGCCTTGCTAATGATCAGCGGTGGTTCTGATGTCAGTGGTGCTTCAATCAGGGGGGGTGAGTCCTTCCATGTACCAACTCCTGCTATCAAGGTGATTCCTTCAGAACGTTCTGGGGTTAACAATGCAACAACCAATGTCATACATGGTAAAGGAGGAGAGTGTTGTGGTGTACCCACTCAAGTGGGACCCGCACGTTTTTGTTGGTGGTGTTAGGTGACCCACTCACATGGTGAAAAGAAAAAAAAAAAAGAAAAAAAAAGGAGAACGATGGCATGCTAAATTTTTTGACAAAACGGAGAGCCGTGAATGAGTAATACACGACTCTCAAATATTGTTCCTCTATAAATAGAGGAGATGAGCCAAGGCTCAATACACAGCCACAGATAGAAATTTATCTATGAAGGAAAGATTTGAGAGTTATTTAGTTTTAAGAAAGGATTCTTAAAACTAAAGGTTTAGAAAAATAGTGAAGATTATTGGGGTGTTTTTTGAAAAACACTTTTGAATGCCACTATTTTATATTACTCTCTGTGTAAGCCTACTATTTTTAATAGTGGAAGAATTATTCGGAGTTTGTCCCGTGGATGTAGCCCTAAATAGTTAACCTAAATAGTTAAGGGTGAACACGCTAAATTTTCTGTGTGTCCATTTCTATGTTTCCATTGCCGTAATTATTTTTGTAATTTTAATTGTCGGTACCTAAACAAGTGGTAAATCAGAGCCTTTTAAGTTTCGACGGTCCAAGTCCAACCAGACTGATAGCGGTACCGGATCTGTGGATATATTTTGAAAATAAATATACCACGACGACGAGAAAATTACGACGAGTCCGTTGGTGCAGTTCATTCTAAAAGACGTTGCAGAATCAACCTAGTGGTGAATAATAAAATAGTAACTCAAAGTTGATTGTAAATAGTACATTGGCGTTACTGTTGCTGATTACGTTTCAAGTAAGCCCAGCACTATTCACGCATAGTACTATTCACGTGTACGGTTACTATTCACGTATAGTACTATTTACGTATAGTACTATTTACGTGTACAGTTATTATTCTTGTATACTGGTACTGTTTGTATATATGGATACTATTCACTCAAAAATTATGGAGGCTAGGACGAGCAAAAAATGATTAGTCTAAATGGCGCAAATTACCATATATGGAGAAATAAAATGAGAGATCTCCTAATGGTAACCAAAATGCATCTGCCCGTGTTTGGTTCAACCAAACCGGAAGATAAGAATGATGAAGAATGGGCTTTCGAGCATGAGCAAGTTTGCGGCTATATTCGACAATTTGTCGATGATAATGTGTACAACCACATTTGTAACGAGACTCACACCAGAACATTTTGGGACAAGCTTGAACAATTATATGCCTCAAAATCCAGCAATAACCAATTGTTTTATTTGACGAAGTTGATGAATTTCAAATATCAAGAAGGTACTTCAGTAGCATATCACTTGAGTGAAATGCATACGACTATTCACCAGCTGTCAAATATGGGCATAAAATTTGATGATAAATCCTCGGCCTTATGGTGCTTGCCTCCTTACCAGAGTCATGGGAGAAGATATCAATAACAAACTCTACACCACATAGTGGAGTTAGCTGGGAATTTGTTAAAAATGATGTTCTGAATGAAGAAATGAGACGCAAAGCATAGAATCCTTTTTCATCTCAGTCAGACATTTTTTTAGCAAATGCTAAAAGAAATAACCAGCCCTGAGGGAGGAGCCAATCTAGAAGTTCAAATGCAAGACATAAGAGCAGGGTAAATCAAACAGATCTGCCAATATTGTGTGCCATCATTGTGGGAAAAAGGGGCACATTAAAAGGTATTGTCGGAAGTTCAAAAGTGATCAGGAGAAGATCAAAGGCAAAGCAAAGAAAGAAGAAAGCAGTGATGATGAAGCTAATGGATGAAGCTATGTCAATTGCTGAGTTTCGCAAACTGTTCATTGGGAAACACTATCAATCTTTGCAACCCAAGAGAGCAGTTTGGGCTAATTGATAGTGGGGCTACACTTCATGCAACATCTCGGAGAGAAATTTTTCATCTTACACACTAGACATCTGGGTGTGGTCAAGATAGCAGACGGCAAACTATTGAAAGTCGTCGGTAAGGGAAGATATTTGCCTGGAAGACAGAAATGGTTCGAGATTAATTTTAAAGATGTCGTGCATGTACAAGACTGCATTTCTAATTTAATCTCGGTTGGCAGACTTGATGATGAAAGATTTCTGCTAGCGCACTTCAGAATGGTCAGTGGAAACTTACAAAAGGCTCCATGGTGGTAGCCAATGGAAGGAAAGACCCAAAAGTCTGTACGTGATGTATCAAAGCTCTCCCCAAGATCCAAGATACTTTAAATGTAGCGGAGGATGACAGTACAGTTGAATTGTGGCATAAACGACTAGGCCACATGAGTGAGAAAGGAATGACAACTCTAGTCAAAAACAACATGCTATCTGGATTGGATAAAGTCCATTTAGAGAAATGTTCTGATTGTATGGCAGGAAAACAGAATATAGTAGCCTTCAAGATTTCTTAGCCTTCCAGAATGAAGAATGTGTTAGATTTGGTACATTCATCTATGTGGACCATTGACGATGTCATATGGTGGAAATCGATACTTTGTAACATTTATCGATGAGCATTCTAGGAAGACTTGGGTATACACTTTGAAGTCTAAAGATCAAGTTTTAGATGTTTTTAAACAATTTCTAAACTTGGTTGAGCGACAGACAGGCAAAAAGCTGAAGTTCATTAGAACAGATAATGGTGGTGAATACACTGGGCCATTTGATGCTTTCTACAAAGAGCATGGTATTCGACATCAAATAAAACCTCCCAAGACTCCGCAACTGAATGATTTGGCTGAGAGGATGAACAAAACTTTGATGGAGATTGATGGAGAGAGTCAGATGTTTCTCTCACATGCTAAGTTGTCTTAAAAGATTTTGGGGGTGGAAGCTTCTTTTACAGCAGTTATCTTATAAATCGTTCACCTTATGTTCTCTACAGTTATGATACTCCAGAAAAGATAA